AACTGCACCATCAGCTTGGCCGGCAGCTTGGCCTTCTTCAGCTGTCGTAGGAAGTACAGTCTCTGCTGGGCCTTCTTGATGAGGGAGCTGATGGTCAGCTCCCACTTGAGGTCCTGGGTGATGGTGGTGCAGAGGAACCGATAAGAGTTCGCAGTGGTGATGGAGGTATCATTACAGGTGAGGGGGGGCAGAGGGGCTGTGGCTTTCCTGAAATCCACAATCATCTCCACTGTCTTCCGGGCATTGAGTTCCAGGTTGTTGCTGTTGCACCAGGTCACCAGCTGGTCCACCTCCCTCCTGTATGCAGACTCATCACCGTCCGAGATGAGCCCGATGAGGGTGGTGTCATCTGCAAACTTAATAAGTTTCACAGAGTCATGGCTGGAGGTGCAGCAGTTGGTGTACAGGGAGAAAAGCAGGGGGGAATGCACACAGCCCTGTGGAGATCCTGTGCTTACAGTTTGTGTCCGAGACAGCTCTCCCCAGCCGCACGCACTGACTCTGGTCTGTCAGGAAGTCTGTTATCCACCTGCAGGTGGACTCAGGTACATGGAGCAGGGAGAGCTTGTCTTGGAGCAGAGCAGGGAGGATGGTGTTAAATGCAGAGCTGAAGTCCACGAACAGGATCCTGGCGTAGGTTTCTGGGGAGTCCAGGTGCTGCAGGATGAAGTGAAGAGCCAGGTTTATTGCATCATCTACAGACCTGTTGGCCCTGTAGGCAAACTGCAGGGGGTCCAGGAGGGGGTTGGTGATGGACTTGAGGTGAGATGAAACCAAACGTTCAAAGGTTTTCATGACTACAGACGTGAGAGCTACAGGTCTGTAGTCATTTAGTCCTGTGACATGTGGCTTCTTGGGGACAGGGACGATGATGGAGGACTTGAAACAGGCTGGGACGTGGCATGACTCCAGAGAAGAGTTGAAGATCCCTGTGAAGACCGAAGCCAACTCTCCTGCACAATGTCTCAGTGTGGAGGGTGACACAAGATCTGGGCCTGCAGCCTTATGTGTGTTCAGCCTTTTAAAAAGCCTCCTTACTTCATCCTCTTGTACAGAGATAGCAGGGGGTTGTCGAGGGCAGTCCCAAGTGGTTAAACCAATTGAGCTGAGGTTGGTGTGGAGGATGGAGGAATGTGAGTCCATAACTTCAAAGCGTGAATAGAAGTCGTTCAGATCGTTTGCCAGTTTGAGATTGTCTGTAGAATGAGGTGCTCTGGGCTTGTAATTAGTTATCTCTTTCAGCCCCCTCCAGACAGAGGCAGGGTCGTTTGCAGAGAACTGTTTTTCCAGCCGTGTGTTGTACCTGTAGGGATGGCACCATCTAGTGGGCCTTCCCCTGTCTGTTCTCCCTTGTGTCTCTGTATTGATTGTCTGATTATCGTCACCTGTGTCATGTCCTGTTTGTGTATATAAAGTCTGTCTGTTAGTTCTGTCGATGTTGTTTCGTCGTTGGGTATTGCCTGTCCTGCCCTGCCTGTCTGATCCTGTTTAATCCTGTTCCCGAATCTGTTTTGTAAGTTTTGCTGCCATGTCAGCTTTTTGATTTATTATTATTATTTAAAGTATTTTATTTTATACGTCTGTCTCCTGAGTCCTGCCTGCGCAACTGGGTTCTCCTGTCATGATCTGCCTTAAAAACCCTGACAGTACGAACCGACCAAAACCTGAACCCAGCAGGAGACTCACTCAGACTCTGCTCACCTGTTTTTGCTCAAGCCTGTCCAGATGGAGGGAGCTGCGATCTGGTGCGGTGCCTTTCGGACTAAACCTGTCCTGGGACTGAGAAGCTGCAGCCAGGTGGTTGAAGTTCTGCCTTCGCCTCTCCTACTGCAGAAGGAGGGAGGAGTTGGGTCTTCCAGCTTTTCTTAAACCCTCATTCTCTGTCTGACATTTGGGATCTGGGTGGGGTGGGGTGGGGGGTGGGGGGGTTAGGCTGCCTGGTTGGGATCTGGGCTGTGGGTGGGTATTGGGCCTTTGGGGGCGATTGGGGGTGGGGCTGGTGCTCCGGTTCTCCCTGGATTGTTTGGATCCTTTGATCAGTGTTCCTGGTTCTGATGGCCAGCCCTTTGGCTGGGGTGGCTGCCGGGTTCTGGTGGGAGGTCAGCTGTGGTTGTGTGTGTGTGGTCGTTGGTAGTGCGTGGTGGCGGTCGGGGGCGTGGCTTCACTTCGACAAAGTGCTGGCTGGTCACCCTGATGTGACAATCACGGTGTGGGGTGCTGTGTGTGTGTGTGTGTGTGTGTGGGGGGGGGTGCATGGGTGGCATGCCGGGGCTTCTCCGGGCCTGTGGTGTGGGGCTTTAGGGATGCATTGGTGTGCTGGGCCGGCCTTTCTCAGCTGCTGCTCCCTGCTTCTCTGGCCCCCGGCCTGGGGCCGGCTTGCGGTCACTATTGGGCAGGTGGGGTGCATGGACGGCCCAACAGAGGCTCTGTCGGGCTGTCTCTGTGTGCCTGTTTGTCTCAGGTTGGGTTTTGGGTGGCCCCCCTCTCTTGGACCAGTTTTGGCCCCCCATTTGGTGGGTCGTGCTCCCCCCCCCCCGGAGGTGGGCCCCCCTGCCGCCGGTGCATTGGCGGCTCTCAGCAGCTGGGGCTGGGTGGTGGGGTGTGTGCAGGCCCGCCCTGGAGGCTGCCTGCGGGGGCCTGGGTGCCCTGGCTCTGTCGGGCCTCTGTTGGGGGGTGGTATGACCTCGGGACTCGGGGCTTGATGTCCATGGTCGGATCCACTCTGGAGGGGCGGGTTGCCGGCGGGGCCTGTTGACTCGTCGCTACCGCCTCCTGGGGGTTTCTGCATTGTGGTTGCTGGGGATCACCCGGGGCTTCCCTTTGCTTCTCTGTCTGGGGGGTGCGGGTGTCCCTGTTGGGGGACTACCGGAGTTCCGGGCTTGGGGGCCGCTGTGTGTCTGTGGTTCCGGGCTTCCCTGTGTAACCTTCGTGTCCTGTGGGGATGGGTTTATGGGTCCCCACATCCACTTTTGAACAATTTTATGGAGAAACCTTTTAGTGATAAGCATGCTCACACAGGTGTTTAGATTCAGGTGTTTATCAGATACACACTCAGTTGGTTTGTGGTGGCCATCAAATATATATTGTATTACCATGTAATGTATAAAATACTTTCTAATGATGTTATAACTATCATTATATAAGTTGTTTGTTGTTGTGGTTTCTTGGTTTTCTCGTTTTTTGTTTTTTTTTCTCTTTGGGCAGGTCTAGAGGCAGACTTCAATGATGTTGATTTGTGTTCTCTTTATCCCTCTCTCTCCTCTATTCCTATCTCCTTCTTTACATTTTAACTCTTCTCTCACTTTTCTACTTTATTATCTTCTTTGTTTTCCGTCCCCCGTGGCCATTACATCTGAAACAAACCCAAAGCATATTCTAATAAAATTTAATTTATATATCAAGTGGAGCATTAAGGCCAGCCATAATGCTCTGCTTGTGAAAGTAAATCTGTTGGGCATCACTTTGACACTCAGACAATAATTCTAAGTGTCACAATGCCGGACAGGACAAGGGGGGAAAAAAAAGAAAAAAGAAAATCCATTTCATAGTTTGCAGCCAGCTACAACATGAGGACTGAGTTAGCAGCACTGTGGCTAATGGCTAACCACTTTTCATTGTAACATGTCCGCTGTGTGGAAGTATTTTACACTAAAAACACCACAAAACAAGACAGCAATGTGCAATGTCTGCAGAGCCATAGCACCACATTAAACCGCGGGAAAGTTAGTTTTACGTGGCCATTCGAGCTCCATGGTTTCAGCGGTCTGCTCCACTCACTGAACCCTTAGCAGGCAACCCGACCCCGGCCAGCCGCGTCTAATCTGCCCCGCTCAGTCTGCCCGTCTCTGAGGAGGGACAGACTGAGCGCGGCTAACCGAAATCAGGCTGCCTGCTGCAGATTGAACAAGAAGAAGACATCGCTGAAGCCCCAGAGCTTGAATCTTTACCGAGAAGTTGATAAACTTCATCATAATTAATGACCAACTGCTATTAGTTGTAGAAAACGAAGGATTTCACAGCTTGATACTTGCACCCAAGATATAGTTTACCCTCCAGGAGATATTTATCAGTACAACAGTAGACAATCATAAAAAAAACATGATTTGAAAATGACAAGAAAATTATATATAAATATAAAAAATAAAAAAAACAGCTAAAGTGACGTAAAATACTAAAAACATGTTGGTATTGGTTTATGCAATGAACTTAGCAGATGTTTAATGACATTTAATTTTTTTTTAATTTAATTCATTTATTCATTCATTTAAGACAAAATAAACAAAACAAATTTATCAAAAAGAAAACACTGGATGAAAAGAGTGCAGAAAGAAGTTTTTTTTTTTTAATCTCCACCTTATTTAAAAAATATATATAAAATAACTTTAAACAGTCACTTAAATAATCACTTAAATATCCACTTTAAAGCTAGGAATAAAAAAACATGTTTTGTGTTAGCAGGATTTAATTCTAACTTTGAAACGTATCCAACATTAATAAAACTTACCTCAAGTTGCCTTTTTGGACATGCATGCATATATTTGTACAAATTGTACCTGAGAGGAGATTATTACAGCCTCATATCAAATCCATGATGATCATGATATCGGAACTGGATCGGTATCAGCCGATATCCAGTTTTTTGGGGGATCAGGATCGGATCGGAAGTTAAAAAAAAAGTGGATTGGTGCATCCCTAATCAAGATACTCAAAGCTCTTTACAACACAACCTGTGCCCTCATTTACCTCCACACATTCATACAGCACTCGACTAGATCTCTACAAAAATAATCTGAATCTGTAGAGATTAATCAGTGCTTTAGATCACAGTCATACACCAATGGGACAGACATTGGAGGCAATGAGGGGTTCAGTGTCAACAGGGACACTTCAACATGTGACTGCTGGTGGAATTGAACCCCCAACTGTTCCACAGGAGGACGACTGCTCTAACCACTTAGCCATAGCCGCCCCCAATGTAAATGTAAAATGTAGTGTCTGACCTCAGAGTGTTCAGTTCACAGTATGGACTCTCCAGGAAACCACAGATCTCCTTCACTCCAGGATCCTCAAGATTGTAGTTGTTACTCAGATCTAAGTCTGTCAAATGGGATGGGTTGGACTTCAGAGCTGAGACCAAACAAAAGCAGCTGATCTCTGTTAGCTTGCAGCGTTCCAATCTAAATAAAACATTTTTGAAATGAGAGATAAAGTCAACAGGTTAAAACATTCAAACAGAACAACATAAAGAGCTAGCATAAATATGACAACATGCTCCTGCTTCATTATAACAAAAATTAAGAAATTCAGCTTTTAAACTCAGTTGGAAAAAAATGTTAAAGCTCTGAGAAAAAAAATCAACTTAAATGTCTAGACAACTTTAAAATGATAACTTTTTTCAGTGTACATTTGAAATGTGTTATCTAACCTCAGAGTCTTCAGTTTACACTGTGGAGTTTTCAGAAAATGACAGAGTTTCCTCACTCCAGAATCCCCCATGTTTTTGTTTCCAGTCAGGTCCAGGCATGTCAGATAGGAGGGATTGCATTTCAGAGCTGAGGCCAGAGCAGAACAGCTGAACTTTGACAACCTGCATGTCCTCAGTCTGAAAGGAGAATAAAATGTGTAATCAAAGCCAACAAGATGCAGGTTATAGCACTCAAACAAGTTGCAGAGTTAAATAGTCAATTAATATGAATGACAACAATGACAAGCTGTTGCCACTCAGTGAGAAGGTCTCCAGTTCAAATCCCGATCCGGGACAATTCTGGGTGGAGTTTGCATGTTCTCTCCGTGCATATGTGGGCTTTCTTCAGGTACTCCGGTTTTCTCCCACTGACCAAAACCATGTATGTTAGACTGATTGGCAATTGTCTCTAGGTGTGAGTGAGAGATTGAATGGTTGTTTGTCTCGTTTGTCTCTAAGCTAACAGGGAGATCAACATGGCGGTGGACATGTGAGCTGCATTTTGGCTGAGCTCCCGTCGGCCCCGCTGAAAAACTGCTTTTTATGATTATATCCTCGCTGCCTTCAAGCTGGATTTTGTCTCTGAGACTGGTGTCACCATGTAACTGAATCAACAAACTTGTGATATGGCCTCTAAACAAAAAATGTCAAAATCTGTGGTCTCTTCTCCCCCGTGGCCTATTATCACTGCAGCAGCCTTGGGTCGCCATGATGGAGGAGCAGGTGGACCTGCAGGTGCGTCAGTCCCACCTTCACTGAGCTCTGGAGGGACAGATGAGTCGTCTCTGAGGTCAGACACTCTGGCCTCAATTAAATCTGAAATCATAGGATGGAAATAAGAGCAGCTCTGACGGATGATTTTAATTTGATCAAAACTGAATTGCAAACATCATTGCGGACCTCAGAGCAGAGTTTGACCAAGTTAAACTTGGTGTTTCAGAGACTGAGAACTGTCTGTCCTTGTGCTTGGACGAGATGGAGAAGCTGCGTGGGACGGTGACGGAGTTAAAGAGTGAAGTCGATGGACTTAAAAAACAGTTTGAATCCATGAAGGGAAATACAAGTCATGATAATATCAGAAATAAAGGACTTCCTGAGTTGGTGGGTGAATGTTCATCTACTATGATTACTAAATGCTAATGGAAGTCCTAAAACTGGATAAATTGCCACTGATTGATTACACGTACCAGACAGAGGAAGCTCGGATGGAGGATCCAGAGTTATCGTGGCCAGGCTTCATCACCATCAAGAACGTGTGGAAATATTTTGGCGGGCCCACAGTGGTGGCTAGCTCCACTTCAAAGAATCAACCATATTCATGGCAGCTGAATACACCCCAGGTGTAGCGAGGGCACAAGAGGCATTCACGGATTCAAAACAGCTCCTGCGGAATAGGGATGCACGATCCACTTTTTTTCACTTCAGATCCGATACCGATACATGCGGTTTAGTATCCGTCTATACCAATCCGATACCGATCTGATACAGAAAAACAGTGCTGAATTAACAAAAATGGCTAAATCATGTCATCTGGACCCATTTCTGAAAGAGGTCCAGATGACATGATTTAGTCATTTTTGTTGTCTACCTGGATTCTTTGAACTTACAAACCAAGTGCTGAATTAACTTAAAACATTTGTTTTGTTAAATGCAGACATGAATGTACTGAATTACAAATTTATTGAAAACTCTGCACCATAACAGCACACTTAAACACACCAAGAACTTCAAAAGCATGGCCAAACATGCAAAAACAACACAACTTTAATTTGCTCAGTCAGTAAGCTAGAACGTGACATCACTCAAAGCACAAAGCATAGAATTAGAGTGAATAGATCCTCCCAGTCATGGATTGGTCACATTGTCACCGATACCCGATCCAGAAGCTTTTATTTTATTTTATCGGTACTGATACCGATATTGGTATGGGATCGGTGTATCTCTACTGCGGAACCAGCCGGTGGCCCGGTATGGTCATCTTTTCCCGTCACGGCTTCACATCACACATGGAGGGACAGACAAGGTGTTTGTCGACTCCATTAAAGTGATGGAATACATCAAGAAAATTATCATTCCAGTGACAGGCGACGAGGATGGAAATAGATCAAAATAAACCACAGGACCAGTCTCTTTCAATAAAAAACTTTTATTAAACTTGTGTTAAGCTTAATAGTTGGTTGTGGTCCTCTGGTAATGGAACATGCTCTATTCAACCTCTGCTTGACTGCCTGGCTGACATCAGAGACTGGATGGCTTTAAATGTCAAGTTTCAATGAGAAGAAGTCTGAAGTCATGTTGTTCCCTCCCAACGACATGATCATGAACCACTGCATCAACCTTTCCACACTAGCCCAGTTAGAGAAACTAATGCCCCTTTTGCACTACCCCTAATAAGACCCAATTCTGGGCAGCCCGCCACAGAAAGAACCCTTCTGCACCAGCACTTTAGCTAGTATTTTTAGCTGATTTGAGACTGATTCAGGACCTCTTTTCGTCCCTGATTCTCTGGTGGGACTGAGTGAGCTCAGTTGAGCTGAGTCCGGATTGAAACGTGAATGCAGGACTCTGATTGGTCAGGGGGAGGAGTCACTGGATCTCAGAAACTTTTCACTGAGCCGCCGTTTGCAATTTCTCTGGATGCGTAGCAGCGGCTGGATCTATTTTTAAGATTTTAAAAACAATAATGACAACGCAGTGTTTAATTCTGAAGTCCAGGCATTTTTTGTGTTTGGTGACCGACTATAAAATTTGAGCAAGCGGTGTCACCGCGGAGGTTCACACGAGCTGCAGAGCCGTTGAAGCCCGCGAGGCCAAACCTCGAGCCCTGGCCTCACTTGCTCACAAAGGCTGGATTCGAGCCCTGGCAGGATGGAGGGGGTGGAAAATTATTATTTTTTAAACATTTTATGTATAAAATATAAGTTTTTTTTAATCAGTGAAGATTAAAAATAAATAAACAGTGCCGGCTTTATTGTGAAATCCTGTTTTCCCTTTGACTTTATTAAATAATCTGTTAATTAAAGTTAATTCAACTGAAAAATTATAAAAAGACAAAATTATTGAATCTCTCATATTTCCCTCAAACATGTTTCAAGACGAGACACAGCCTTTGGTTCAACTTTATTCTAACCCACAGATGTACAAATCACAAAACAAGATTTACACTTTAAATTAAAGCTTTAAATCAAATCTAAACTTTAATTCAAAGCTAAAAATAATCTGTATACAAGAAATAATTTGTATACAAGAAATAATCTGTATACAAGAAACAAAACCACAATAAGTGCAAATAGATCAAATGATGAAGAAAAATATAGAATTTTAAATATAGATATCCTGATGCATGCTCAATAATCCAGGTAAAAAAAATCTAAAAAAGTTAAGTCTGGTCCTCTGGACGTTCAAAAACAAAACAAACAAAAACAAAAAAGTAGAAACGTTTCTTCTTTCATTCGAAAGACTTGTTCAGTCTGAGGTGCTGTATTCAGCTCAGTCTTTTATAAATAGCTATGAGCTGAATACAGCTCCTCAGACTGAAGAAGTCTTTCGGATGAAAGACGAAACGTTTCTACATTTTTGTTTGTTTGTTTTGTTTTTTGAATGTCCAGAGGACCAGACTTAACTTTTTTAGATTGAAATATAAATGTTTTTTGTAGAATCTGGTTCATCAGATTTAATTCAGTTCAGTTTATTTATACAGTGCCAAGTCACAACAGAAGTCGTCTCAGGGCACTGAACAGAAATATTCATATATAAAATAAGTTAACAGAAACATTCATATATAAAAATAATAATTTAATATGATTTATCTGAGGAGCAGACTGCTTTGAGTAACTCATAGCAGAACTCTCATTAGCAGGACTTGGATTCTGGACACGCCTCCAGAATCGGTCCTAAAGTGCAGGTGCAAATCCAGGCTGAGCTGAGCCAGGCTGAGTAGGGGTGTGCAGGGCTGAGCAGAGTTGGGGCTGATTAGGGGCAGTGCAAAAGGGGCAAAAGAGTCACTAATATGGGAGTGATAATGAACCCTTCCTTGAAACTTAACAGTCATGTAAACATGATTGTTAAATCATGCTTTTTCCAACTGAGGCGGCTGTCTAAGCTGAAGCCCATATTGTCCAAAAATAACCTGGAGACAGTAACACATGCATTCATAACATCCAGGCTCGATTACTGCAACTCGCTCCTGTTTGGTATCAGTCAGACCTCCATTGCACGACTACAACTGGTCCAGAATGCAGCAGCCCGATTTTTAACCAGTACTGGCAAAAGAGAGCACATTACACCAGTTTTGGCCTCCCTGCACTGGCTACCGGTTCACTTTCATATACAGTTAAAAATACTCTTGTATGTCTATAAATCACTGAACAGCTCTGCACCCTCCTGTCTCATTGATCTGCTGCAGCAGTATGTCCCATCACGTTCTCTGAGGTCAGCGGACCAGTTGCTTCTCTCAGTTCCAGGAACCCGTCTTAAGCACAAAGGTAACAGGGCCTTCTCTGTAGCAGGACCAAGACTTTGGAATGAGTTACCTCTGCTTGTCAGGCAGGCCCCCTCCCTCACAGTTTTTAAATCCTACTTTAAAACCCACTACTATTACCTGGCTTTCAACACTGTATGATTTGTGTTGATCCTGTTTGCATCACACTGTGCTAATCATTATGTTATTATCTGCTATTATTATTTTTCTATATTTTGATTTTACGTTAGGGAGTGGTGGCGCAGAGGTTAGAGATGGTGGGCCTGTGATCGGAAGATCGCCGGTTCAAGCCCCGGTACCGACAACATCAAAAATGTGGGTGGGGTATGTGAAGTACCCACACCTGACCCTACCCTCATTCGTCTCACTCTAGGCTCTTGAGCAAGGCCCTTAACCCCCACCATCTGCTCCTCCGAGTGTCCTAGATAGTAGCTCTCTGCTCCACACAGAGGGCTGTGGTAGCTCGGTGGTCTGTGGTTGCGTCAGGAAGGACATCTGGTGTAAAAATAACTGCCAAGTCTTCGTGTGACTTAGTTCACTGTGGCGACCCCTAAAAAAGGGAACAGTCGAAAGAAGAATAATTTTGATTTTACGTTATGTTATGTGTTGCTGTGTGCTTTGCCTGTTTGTTTCTGTTTGTACAGCACTTTGGTTGGCC